GGAGGGGGCGGGGGGGGAGGGATAAAGAAAGAAAGAAAATAGAGAGAGAGAACGAAAGAGATAGAGAAAGAGAGAGAGAGAGAGAGAGAGAGAAAGAGAGAGAGAGAGAGAGAGAGAGAGAGAGAGAGAGAGAGGGAGGGAGAGAGAGAGGGAGAGAGAGAGGGGGGGTGGAGAGAGAGAGGGTGGAGAGAGAGAGAAAAAGAGAGAAAGAGAGAGAGAGAGAGAGAGAGAGAGAGAGAAAGAGAGAGAGAGAGAGAGAGAGAGAGAGAGAGAGAGAGAGGGAGGGAGAGAGAGAGGGAGAGAGAGAGGGGGGGTGGAGAGAGAGAGGGTGGAGAGAGAGAGAAAAAGAGAGAAAGAGAGAGAGAGAGAGAGAGAGAGAGAGAGAAAGAGAGAGAGAGAGAGAGAGAGAGAGAGAGAGAGAGAGAGAGAGAGAGGGGGGGGGGGGGTCAAAGAAGAACTGTACAGAACACTGGTTTTTATTGAAACTAAAAAAGAGTAAAAATCCTAAAAGACTGCTACTTTTTCAGACAAGGACGCGAGCACTCCTTGGTGAAGCGACACAAAACCTGCTACTGGGCCGCAACATGCGCACTTGTTGAGTCTCACATGGACATGCCAAGACAGCTGCAGCGTTGGCAATATCACTGATTATATTATCATCAGGCCTTTCCACACACTCAACGTAAGGCGTAAGCCTCCCCTGAGCTGGCTCCCCGGCCCGGTGCAGTGTTGGCCCAACGTGGCATTAGATAGACACGCTTGCATGACACAGCACATTGTCCGAGGTCAAGATTGCTGCCTGGTTTGCCATTTATTTAGCACACTAAAACTTGAGAGTTCACCAAGCGCTTTCTGTTGTTGTTATTGTATGGTCTTGGCTCCCATTCGTGTGTAGAAATACTCACTCACGTGATGTAACTTGTTCCAGAGATAAGGCTTCTTGGCTTTTTTTTCCCTTCTAAATTCGAAAGAGGAAGCAGAATACGTCTAGATCTATACGTATAGGCCTCTCACTATTCTACAATAGAAAATTGGGAAAGAAGATGTAAGAAAATTATAGACTACCGTGTCAAAAATTTAACGGTAAATTTACTTTTAAACTGTCTTTTGTGTCTTCTCAAGGGTCACTTTGCTATCATACAACCCACAAGGTGCGAGGTGGGGGGGGGGGGTAACTGTCAGTTTGGTACAACATTGACCGCTATGATTACATGTAGGCCAATAATAAGGCGTTGCTGAATTCATTATTATTATCCTTTTCACTTGGTTTTACTGTGAAGAAGCAATTCGGGCCAGCTTCGACGCAAATAGTAGCCTATGTACTTCGTCAGGAGGTCGACAGAGATAACGAGCCGAGTTCGCAGGGTCAACCTGATAAGAGGACAGAAACAAGGCTGACAGACACATTTAAGAATGTTGACACACGTACCAAGCCCCAAGGATTTGATATGAGCATGCATGCAGTGGCGGTGGGTGGACCAAGATTTGGGTGGGGCTTAGGTTTCTTCCACTTCTTTACCACCAAATAGTAAGCAATAAGAATAAAACAGTGATGATTCTTCTATACTCACGGCGAGTCACGGCATTTTGAGAACAATTCAAACGAGAAGAGTCACCTTTGTCTTCCATCTCTTTGTTCTTAGTTAAATTTAAGCTCTTCAGTGTGGTGGGGACGAAGCCGTTTCACCTCCAAAGTTTTTATCTGAGAAAGTGATTTGATGTAATTAATAACTGTAAAATTTCAGCAGCACAAACCCACAGCACTCCAAACACATACCGTCTATGAGGTGGATTTGGTCGTGTTGTTGCGGAAAATAGAACGCGCCTAACAAAGGCCCAATGGGCGCATAGGTAACTGTGTCACTGGGGGGAAAGTGTGTCGTAAACTTTCACCCCATTGTCAGGGCTGGGAGAGCGTGAGCCCTCTGTGCAGTGTTATTTTTTAAAAGTTTTCTCCTTTTTACAAGAAGAGTGTCATTAAAGACGGGCGTGGGAACCGGCTTATTCTTTCTGAGCCCTAACAACATTTGATTGGCTGTTGGGTTACTATAGTTGTAAGCGGTGACAACAATGATTGGATAAACGGGCAAGCCGCCAAGCTAATAACTGTTTGTTCATTGCGTGCGATCTTAACCGTTTTAACTGCTTATTTCGTTATTTAAGAAACTTTCATTAACTAAAGGATAGAGTTGGAGTGAGGAGGGGGTTGGGGTGAGGGGCTCAAGCCCGTAAGCCCTTCACTACCCACCGCCACTGCATGCTTGTCGGTATCACCTCGGTGAAGAAGCGTACCGGTACAGGGTTGCTCAGAATTGCTCGTTTTGCATGCTGCGTGAAATTCTCTACGTTTTAAAAGAATTTGAGGAGAATCGACAAGATAAATTGCACTCTTAGTATGGACATGTACTGACCAACACTCAGAATCAATCTCACAATTTTCTCCTCCCCTCCCCGCCCACTTGTAAAAAACGTTTGGGTTTTTTGTTGTTACTTTTTTTAAAAATGTTGCAAGTGTTTTACGGCGCTAGCAACGGCATCATAAGGTAATAATAATATGATTAATATGAGCGCGCAGGACACACAATGAACATTTTCAGTCGTTAGGAAATTTTGCCCGGGTGGCGGCCAAAACCTACTCTTATTTATCGATTTTGGACACCAAGGAATCTTCAACGTGCGCGACTTGCACACGGGACCTCCGAGATTTGTCGTCCAAGAATGCTAGATGTAAATCTTTCCTTCCATAAGATCAGTGGAGTGGCTGAAAGACAGAGGTTAAAAGGAGCCAAGGAGTAGAAAAGAAAGGCTGCAGTCAGAAAGAGTCAGGAGCCCAGAAGAGGGGCAAAGAAGGTGACCGGGGGGGGGGGGGGG